CGGTGCGGGGCCTTCCCGGCCGGCGCCGGCAGCGCTGGCGGCTGCTTCTAAGTGTCAGCCACTGAGTGTGGGGAGAACGATGGATTTGAAAGGGAGCTGTTTGCTTTTTTAAGCAGAATTCAAAGAAAATATTCCACCTTCGAGATTGCTCAGTTGGAAAATCAAACTGTTTTTCACTTCTAGCCTGTCTGTTGGGCGGGCTTTTCTCGAGGGGAAAGGTGACTCAGGCGAAGATCGGAGGCGGCTGCTGCGGGAGCGCAGGGGCTCAGGGTCCAAGCCACGTCGAGGCTACGGGCACAGGCACCTCGCTAAGCTCCCCGAGGGCTTACAAGGTGCTTGTTACTCTTCTAAGCTGGGCAACAGTTTCTTCTAAGAGTCTTCAGGGCACTTTCCCACAGCTCCCTGCCTCACAGCCAAGGTAGTGAGAAGCGTGTCTCAAAGAAAAATGTGGGCATGACGTTTGTCCAGTGTACTGGATTAACAATGTTACACACTGGCGTCCCATCAGATTGTTTAAGGAGTTGTGTTATTTGGGGTCAAAAGTGGAAGAAAAAAAAAAGAGCAAGAGGGCTTTTTTTCCCCTAGTATTTCTGAGGGCAGTCAGAAAGCCGCAAACACACAGCACTTCTTGTAGAAAAGAAAAGGAAGGAAGATTCAGACAGTGGAGCCCACGGTCCAAAGCGTAGGTCCGCTCCCAGGGAGCAGGTCTAGGTCCTCCGTAACGAGCGAGGGAAGTTGAGGACAGAGGTGCTGGGTTCGGAATCATGGTGTACCCGCTTCCCACATCCTCTCTTTGACTTGGGGTGTTGACTGCAGTCACTCTGTGCCCGTCTCTCCGCGTACATCCTGTCTCATCTGTGACCTGTTTACTTTAATTCACGGGTCTCCCAACCTGAGGAGCCTCATGGGAGCAGCCTTACCAGCACCTGTGTCTGACTCAGGGGACGAGATCCCGGCCTCTGCATTGGTGCCTGAGGCCGTAATGGATGAGAGTTATGGGTCCTTGGAGAGGAAGAGTGTGTCCTGCATGTCAGAGGACGTAAGTAGTTTGTGGCCAGGGGGCGTTTCTCATGGATCACAGATGGCTGCAAGTTCTTGCTACTCTTTCCATTGAGAAATAGGGTCTATTTTCCTCCTCCTGGACTTGGCCTGGCCTTCGGCCTGGATTTAGCCAAGAGGACGCAGTGAAGGATGCAGGGTGACTTCCACAGCTGGGTCTTCATCTGAAGCTCTGGGTTAGCTCCTCTTAAAACCCTCCCGTGCGATCTGGCAGCCGTGCCAAGTCCGAGCCGAGGGGGGAGAGGAAGAGGTTCCTGCCTGGCATCCTCTCCTCTGAGCTGACACACGGGAGTGAAGCCACCTGATTGTGGTTCTGGGATCCCGACCAATGTCACTGAGCAGAAGAAGGGCTGCACACGGCCCTGCCTGAATTTCTGATGCACGGAGTTGTGAACACGTGAAGTGCTTGTTATCTTAAGACACAAACTTTTGAGAGGAGTTTCTTATTCAGCAGCAAGTAAGCCACACAGCTACCGAGAGGACGCGGTACCCAGTGGCTTCGTTCGTGCCTCGGTCACTGCTCCGGCCAGTGAGCAAATCTTCGGAAATTTTTGCTACATTAAGCACTATTGCATGTACATTTTAAATATGCTTAATTAAAACAGAGGGACATGTCTTAATGTAACTACCCTTGAATTATCTGGCATACACATATTGACCCATCAAGAGCAGATCGATTTCCCCAATATTTTATTTTGGTTCTGTTGAATATATATTCTAACTAAGACTGTTAATCTATCTCATTTAAGTCCAATCATTTTTGGTGAAAACAGACAGATAGAAGCAAGCTTGGGACGGAGCGTCCAGAGGGAAGACCTCAGTCTCATGTGACAGGGGGGACGGCAGCCTTTTGACCTTCATTATAGTAACATCCTTTCATTTTTTTCTTGTTTTTATTTATCATCCTATTTCTTATTCCCAGAACATAGTGTTTACTATGTGCGGTGGATGAAAGTTTTGAAAAGAACTATGAAGTACAAAGAGAAAAAAAAGAACATTTTAAATAAAGACAGATTGAAAACCCAACCTCTTTGAAATTTCATATAGTTTTCCCTCATTCGAAACCTACGAGCTGTAAATGAGGAGGCGCCTGGGACATCAGGGACTTACTGGAGGGTTTTGCTGATCACAAGCTTGCTTCTCTTTTCATGTCACCTGGTTTTCATTTCGGGAGCTGTGAGCTGTATCCAGTTATTACCAAAATTGATTTTGGGACAGCATCTAAAGCATTATCCGCTGCTTCTCTGCAGATGGAATATGTATTTATCAAAATGTCCTGGCTGCATGAAAGGAGAGTAAAAGCTGGTAATAACAATGCTGACATAATTGTATTTTTAAGCAAAAGAATCATCCTTTTGCTTCAAAATTTCCTTCTTCCATTCTCATCTGTAAGGCAAGCCCCCGTGTGAAGTCCAGGCGGCCGTGAGGGGAACAGGAGCCGTAAGGAGGAGACGTCTAAGAGGGTGTCTGAAAAGACAGGCACACCTGTAAGGGACAATCGGCACGCTGTTGGAGTTTCCATAGATAATTACATTACACAGACTCCTAAAATGTCAGACATGAAATAATAAACAGGACTCTGCATGTGGTTGTTCTTTCTAATCGAGTAGAACCATCTATGCATCAACTCTTTATTTCTCTGGTTTCTGTCAGAATAATGCCCTTTACTGCACGGCACTTTACTTCACAAAATACTGCACAGGCAAGCATTTTCCCCTCTCCACTGTATTAATTAAATTACATAAAACTGGCAGTGTTTAAATTCTGGCATCTGTATTGTCTCACTTAATTACACCCCTGGACTCCTTTCAAAATTCTTTTATTAGCTACAGGGACATCTATCGGCGAAAGGGGAAGAAATCACATACACGCGGTCAGATGCGCTTTGGGACTCCCCCCGGCCCCAGGCCCCCTGCCCCCGGAGCAAGGAGATCTTTCAGTCCGTCTGTCTGTCTGCAGCACTGCCACTCGGTGCTGAGCCGCCACGACCGAACAGCAGAGGGAAGATCTCACCACGATAGAGACTCGCTGGGGATTTAGGAAACCTCGTAAGTACAACGCTTTTCAACATTCTTCCACTTTTTTAAAACAGACCGAACAGGAGTCGCTTTGAGTGGAATGCAGCTTACCGTGCCCACTTTCAGCACGCTGCGTCTGCCAGATAAGAGCTTCCGTCAAGCGTGGGCTTGGGAGAAACTTCCAGAAGCTTGTCAGGAGCACCCTGTGCCGAGCAGGCGTAAGTCCTGGGCAGCGAGGGGATCCCTGCCTTCGGGGCCGGCACAGGGCAGGGCGGGGCCGAGCGGACAGGGCATGCGCAGCACAGCAGACCCGGCCCAGCTGCCAGGTGAAGGGCAAAGATAGATGTGCCCGCGGGAGTTCTTGGCAAGTTCTTCTCCTTTTTTTTTTTTATTTTTTTCAATATCTTTTTTTTTTTTTTGAAGTAGTAATAGGTCCGACTACTACTACCAACGTACGAGAATACTGAGATCTAC